AGTAATCTAGCAAAACAATACAAAAATTAATACAAAATTTTAATATCCTTTAATATTTTTAATAAAAGCAGTCCATTTATCTTTTCTCATATTCTCTAATCATGTAATACTAACATCATCAATTATATCTAAAAGTACCCAATTATTATTAAGTGCTTCAAGTAATTATGCAAGCAAGGTCTTGCAGTAATAAAAGTTATAAGTTTTCTTGATGAAATATTTCCTACAAAGCCAGAGATATTTATGTTTAGATCTGAATAGCTTTCTAGTCCTGATTTTTTTTTCTTTTTTTTACTTTGAAAGAATTATCATTAATAACATGTTTAATATTAAAAGAATTGTCTGATTTATTAATATTAAACATGTCATATAGTGATTCTTTTCTAGTAAGTAAAGCCCTTACTTGAGTTGCTCACTTAGTTACTTTTTCATGGGTTGTATATTTATTTATCCATTCTGTCAAGTAATTATATTCTATTTCAAATTTATATAAGAATCAAAGTGACATTCTGTGAGAAACTTCAATATTATAAGTTGAAATATTACAATCAAAAATAGACTGATAGCATGTACTCATTAATATTGAAAAAATTTCTACTTTTTTTTCTAATGAATCATTCTTTGATAGGTTATTGACTTTGAGATCCTGGGATAATTGCGGCGTACGCCTTAAAAGCATGATTTGATCTTGTAAATTTAAATTATCATCTGAATTTGATAATACAAGATTTTCATATTCCAAAGCTAATCCACCATTAATCTGAGCAGGATCAAATTGGACTATTGAAGTTTTACGAAGTATAGAAAGTTCCTTTAGATAATTAAGAAGACTTTTATAATAATCATCTTTTTTAATAAATGAATTTTTATCATAAAAAGGTGCTATTATAGTTAATTCGCTTTCAAATGCTAATAACTCATAAAATTGCTTAGAAACCTTTAATTTATTTCTAGTTAATATTTTCTTTTTTTTAGTAGGTTGAAAACTAGCAAAATAGCCAAGATATGAGTAAGAATCTTGGCTAACTTGCTTTTTACTAACTCTTTCAAATTTAGGAAATTTAATATTTATAATTGACTTCCTAATTTCGATAGGGTTTATTGGCTCCAATACAATTTCGCCTCAATTGTTCTTAAGTGTTGCAATTTTTTTTGTCAGATTAATTTCAATTTTGTCAAAATTAATATTCTGTGTAATAGATGCTAAAATAATACATTGATTTATAATATCTGGGGATACTTCTTGAAGGAAAGTAAGTATAGAGGGTCGATTAATCCTTTTAGAAGTTTTTGTCACAATTTCTAAAATTAAAATTAAAGTAAGTATTTTTTTTTTTTAAGCTAATAAAACTAATTAAAATTATAGATTTATGTTGTCACTTAATATTTCGTTCATCATCATTATCCTCATCTTCATTCTTATCTTCATTACTTACTTTATTACTCTCTTTACCACCTTCATCATCTTCTTCATTATCACCTTTTTCATTACCTTTATCATGACTTTCGCTTTCAACATCACCTTCCTTATGACCTTTGCCTTCAACATCACTACCATTATCCACTTGCACTACTTTACTGTTTTTATTAAAATTATCTATTTGCATTATTTCTTCACTTTCTTTGTGATCTTCAACTTCTTGCATTATTTCTTCATTTTCCTCATGATCTTTATCTTCAACATCACCACCATTATCTACTTGCATTACTTTACTGTTTTTATTAGCATCATCCATTTGCACTATTTCTTTACCTTAACAAAGTTAAAGTTATTCAATAAAGATTATATATCAATAATTAATAACTGAATACAGCATACTTACAAGAAAAAGAGTAAAGTTCTTTATATTTCACATTTAAGATATCATTGTTTTCATTTGGAGCATTATTAATATCATTAATATTAATAATCGAATCTAATTGAGATGTTAAATTTTGATGAAAATTACTAATATCTCCAATTTCTTAAAAAAAACAACATATTTTGGTATCATTTATATATATTATTTCAACTTCTTTATTAAGAAATCGAATTTGATGAATATATTGTTCAGCATTGTAAGAATATAGTAAATATATAGCTCATATTAAGTCATCCATACTTTCTATTTATTTAAAATATTTGCATATAATTGTCAAATAATAAGTATTAAAATCAAATTATTAGTAATT